CTCAAATCATGTTCAGTAGGTGTTGTTCTTGTTTCTCACACCAGCAGAAATTCTACTAGTATACTAATGCAAATGCTGTAATCTGATTGGCTGAGCCATTGCACACTATCAGCCATTAGTGTACAGTGGCTGGAGGTCGTCTACGAAATAGTGACATTTTTTTTCGTTTTTCCAAAGTTTTGGAGCAAAAGTTTGATGCAAATGGATAATTAATTTTCTGAAAAGACTAAACGAAGGACATTTACGGTTTCTTGACTTTAAAAAAAGTTGAAATTATTGAAAAACAAATGATGTGTGCGTGTACACAACTTCAATTTTAAAAGACAATTCAATCCAAGCGATCTTTTTAAGGTGCAAAGTTTCATAATACATGGAGAAATAATTGGAAACCGATTTCTATGAGGTGATAGTTGATTCGACCTTTGGCTTCATCAACTATCACCTCATAGAAATCTCGAGCTTATAATCTAATTGTTAATTAGAGATTCATTATTATTACTTGATTCTGTATTCACTGTGAAGTACAAACTGCTTTCTGGGAAAAAGACATTTCTAAAGTATAACCAGAGCTGTGCTCTAGAAGCGTCTGGCTGCCACAGGCAACTAACTTCTGCTTTGGGCGACTGAAAAAACTTACTTTTTTCATATAAGCTTAAATGCTGGGCATCAAGGACTTCATGGTTAGGAACCTTTGGGATTCTTGTAATTTTGTCTTAGACCACAGCCTTGATATCAGTTGTCTAATATGAACAAGTCCCATTTTAGGAAACTCTTCAAAAGACAATTGAAGGATTAAGAGAAGAAGAAAATGCTCTTATTAAAAGGTAGAGACAAAATATTGATGAGAATAATACTTGAGGAGGCAAAGTGAGTGACCCCGGGGATCCCATATAAGGAGGACAAGGATGTTTGTTGTACCTTTTAGGGGTTTAAAACGTGGTTTGGTTCCTCTTAAGGTGTTCAGCCTCAAAAGGCCCACAGCAGGAGCTTTTGCAGTACCTTTTAGTGGTGTTGAGCCAAAAAAAAAATTTGACAGGAATTGGTACCTCTTAGGGGTGAAAAACATTTCAAGCTAAGTCACAAAACAGGATCTTGGTACCTCTGAGGGGGTTCTTTTCAAAATTTTCAGCGAGCACCCCTGTCCTTTTTATATGGGAGTTCCCCATTGGGAAAGTGACCTGCTACTTGCACCTGCTACTTGTACCTGCTACTTGCACGCCTTGCAGGCCTATGGTCCTCTCTCTCGTTTCCATAGAGTAATAGAATTTCTACTCCCCCCAGGATGGGATGCTAGTCCACTGAAGAGTCACTCCCAGCATTTAATTTACCTGTTCTTAT